TATATATTACTTGAGAGAAAAGAAAAGGTAAATCGAATTGGGATCGCTTGGATGGTGACATAAAGAAAGTACTTAGAAGGATGTGTGCATTTATTCAAAATTTATGAAGACTTTTTCGATTTTGAATAATAATTATGATAAATTTAATTCTTTTTTTTAAATAAGACTTTTTTAAGAAAGTTTAAAAAATTAAACAAAAATCTCGAATTTCAAAAAGTTTACTAGTCCCTGCAAAAGAAGAAAAATATTAAATGAAGAAAAAGTTGAGGGGTGTTGTTTAATTGGCCTATAAATTGCTTGCCATATGCAATTACATTTTGTCACACACGAAATACACACACTCACTCACAAAATTGTGCTTTCTAGAGTTTGAATTATGTCTGGATTGGCTACTGCGGTGGTGATCATGGTGACTATGGCGGCGGTTTTCAACTCCAACGTGGTTTCCCGTAAAAGCGGATCCAAAGCAGGTAGGCTGGCCCGGACTCCAGCACAGTCATAATTTTTTGTGTATTCAAGTAAAATATTAATTTAGTTTATGATAAATTTATTTTGTCCTAATTTATTTAAATTTATTTTAGAAATAAACTAACAAATTATATATGTGTGCTTGATCTTATTTTAATTCGTAAATTTTTCATTTTATTTTTATTATTTTTATTAATTAATCAGATAAAATTCAAATAGCAATTTTAGTTTGAGAATTGAGATACTATCGATTCACATTATTTATATTATTTCATATGTGATACAACAATTACTTTTTGATTTTCAAGCAGATGATATTTGGATATAAGAATTATATTTAATCTCATTTAGTTATATAACTATTCAATGAAATCACATGTAAATCTTTACAATTTAAACGACATGTCATGTAATAAATATGTCGTTTGCCATGTCTAAATGATTCATTCATTCATAGTAGCACTTACAATAAAATGTAATAATTTTTCTAAATAGAACTCAAGTAGACTAGATTTTTTTTTTTTTTTTTAAATAAAGAATTTAACAAATCAATTGAAGAAATGCATTTATGATTTTATGTTAAATAAGGACAATCTCCATATAAAGTAAGGCAATGCTGAGCTTAAGTGGCAGACTAGTATGTTTTGGAATTCTACATGGCAAAATTACATGGTTCGTTATTAGACTTGAGTAAATTTTAATTTACTTCAAATCCAAAAATAATTACGTTCTGATTATCCATAAATATGTTGATTATATATGGTCATGTTACATGTATTAATTGCATTTTAATATATTTTCTTATTATAACCATTGAATTGTAAATGTCTTTTAAAAGTTAATAACTTTTTTTTTTATCAGTTTTACATATATAATATATCAAATTAATTATCCTTTGATGAGTTTTGATTAAACATCTATGTTTAAAAAAATAAATTTTATTTATCTTTATAACAATAATAAATTTTTTTAATATTAATTAGAAAAACAAAATTATTTAAAAAATCAATATATTTATATTTCAAGTAGTTATATGATATAAGTTATAAAAATTACTATAATATAACACATGTGAGTCGCACATTATATAATAATATTTATTTTTGGTAAAAAGTAAATAAAATTTAAAATAATTTTTCTCATTAATTCTAAAATTTAAAAATAATTTTTAACAAGTACCCGTGTAATACACGGGTGTTATACTAGTAAAGTATAAATGACAATTTTTTTTCAATAAAACAACATGTCACATTTTTAATAATTTATTCTCATTCGTTTCATTTTGCAATTCATGTAATTTACATTAAACACTTAATTAAAAATATTTGTATGCTCCAGTTTTATTTAGTTGAATACATTATGTTCGATTTATTTAATAAATGAGAATATTTGAATCGACTCATTTAATAATTTAATAAATTGAACTCGAATTTTATGAACAAAATTTCACTTGATATCTCGGTTCGATTAAAACTAGCAGAAGCTCAGGGTAATAAAAAATGATGGCTGTTGCAGGAACTCATATGTATGTAGTGGAATCTTCTAGTAACGAAGGCTGGGCCCCAAGTCAAGGTTATCAAATTATTTATCCTCTGAAAGCCCATCCTCACCGTAAAGTGGTGGCGCTTCGTGACATAAAGGAGGGTGACACTCTACGTAAGATATAAATTCAAACATTTGCAATTAAATTTTATCAACCTCATTGAAACGTATAAATTTATCGGTAGTGCGCTCAATAACGTACAAACAAGTATAAAAACAAAAATTTGCGAAAGCAATAACCAAAGATTTAAAAACTCTTCAGGGAAGCATCTCACTTCCCCTTAGAGCTCTTTCATTAATAACTATCGAACACATAGTTTGGATTTACAAAATAGAACTCCCTTCTATTCTAACCACAACTATGATCTAGCCTATCAATTACTTCTCCGGCCACGTCCCGTGGACTTATTATTCACACTTACTCCCTAAGTGTGAAGTGACTAGAAAATGATCAAACCAGAGTAAAGAATAATACTACAAATGAAAGTGGCTTCAGTTCTTCGGTAATCAATGACTCCGAGAACTAAACCCGAAAAACAAAAATACAAGCGATCAACTTGAAGCTTGAAGGTAATGGATAAAAGTGATAGCTCCAGCAGCCGTCCTTCAATCTTCAAGGTAGGTTTATATATGATCTTCTTTCTATATGGACTCCCACTATCCTTGGTCTCTTATTTGGTATATCCAAGAAGTCCTACCAAGTAGGACTCTTCTTCTCTCTCCAAATATTCACTTGTCTTAGTTATCCAATCTCTTCCTTTATCTTCCGTGACTTTCTACTTGCGTGAAGCTCCCATCCATATGTACCGATTTCCTACAAAGTGTAAATACACAATAAGTTCAAATATTCCTTTAACATAATATAAACTAATTTAGGAAACAAGAACTTCCCTTATTTATGCATGCAAGAACTCCTTTTTGAATTCATGCCAAAATATTATATCTTTCACTCAATAATTTATGTTCTAATAATTTAATGTTGGGACTTATAATAATAATGTGTCTGCTTTCAAGTTGCGATCGATCTTCATAGATGAAGGTAAAAGAATAGCTAAACATGGCAATGGAGAACTCAATTTCTTTTCACATTTTTATTTAATTTTTGTTTGTCTATTAGATACTTCTTTTACAAATTAAAATGATTACTTTCATTATAAAATTCATGAATCATTTATTTAATTAAAAGAAATAAAAATATGTGGAAAAAAATAAAAAAAATTTAAAATGTTGTGGATAAAAATAAAACGGACGGATTCTGGGAATCCGTGTTTCAAGGAAAAACGATCAAAATCCGTTTTTATTTATTTATTATTTTTTATTTTAATTTTATTTTATTTTTTGTTAAAAAACGGATTTTCAAAATCCGTTTTTATTTTTTATTTATTTTTTATTTATTTAATTTTTTTAATAAAAAAAATGTAAAAATAGATTTTAAAAATCTGTTTTTATTTTTTAATTATTTTTTAATTATTTTATAAATAAAAAAAAAACTTAATAAAGGATTTTCAAAATCCGTTTTTAAGTTTTATTTTTATATTTAAAGATAACGGGCGATTAAACTATAATTGACCGAGATTGTACTAATTCGACTTCAATTAGACTAATTCAAGGTCGATTACGCTATAATTGACTGAGATTGTACTAATTTGACATCAATTGGACTAATTATAGTGTAATCGAATTTGAACTAGTCCAATTGAAGTCAAATTAGTACAATTTCGGTCACTTATAGTGTAATCGAACTCGAATTAGTCCAATTGAAGTCAAATTAGTATAATCTCGGTTAATTATAGTGTACTAGTTTGACCGAGAATTAGTCCAATTGAAGTCGAACTAATTTGACTTCAATTGGACTAATTCGAGTTCGATTACACTATAACTGACCGAGATTGTACTAATTCAACTTCAATTGTACTAATTTGACTTCAATTGGACTAATTCGATTACAAAAAATAGTACAATCTCGGTCAATTATAGTGTAATCGAACTCGAATTAGTCCAATTAAAGTCAAATTGGTACAATCTGGATCAATTATAGTGTGATCGAGCTCGAATTAGTCCAATTGAAGTCAAATTAGTACAATCTCGGTTTATTATAGTGTAACCGAAATCGAATTAGTCCAATTGAAGTAAAATTAGTACAATCTTGATCAATTCTAGTGTGATTGAAGTCAAATTAATACAATCTCGGTCAATTATAGTGTAATCGACCTCGAATTAGTCCAATTGATGTCGAATTAGTACAATCTCAGTCAATTATAGTGTAATCAAATTCGAAAGCGTCCAATTGAAGTAAAATTAGTCCAATTGAAGTCGAATTAGTACAATCTCGGTCTATTATAGTGTAATCGAAATCGAATTAGTCCAATTGAAGTAAAATTAGTACAATCTTGATCAATTATTGTGTGATCGAACTCAAATGAGTCAAATTGAAGTTAAATTAGTACAATCTGGGTCAATTATAGTGTAATCGAACTCGAATTAGTCCAATTGAAGTCGAATTAGTACAATTAAAGTCAAATTAGTACAATCTCAGTTAATTATAGTGTAATCGACTTCGAATTAGTCCAATTGACGTCGAATTAGTACAATCTCGGTCAATTATAGTGTAATCAACCTCGAATTAGTCCAATTGAAGTCGAATTAGTATAATCTCGGTCAATTATAGTGTAATCGACCTCGAATTAGTCCAATTGAAGTCGAATTAGTACAATCTCGGACACTTATAGTGTAATCGAACTCGAATTAGTCCAATTGAAGTCAAATTAGTACAATCTCGGTCAATTATAGTGTAATCAACCTCGAATTAGTCCAAATGAAGTCAAATTAGTACAATCTCGGTCTATTATAGTGTAATCGAAATCGAATTAGTCCAATTGAAGTCAAATTAGTACAATCTTGATCATTTATAGTGTGATCGAACTCAAATTAGTCAAATTGAAGTCAAATTAGTACAATCTCGGTCAATTATAGTGTAATCGACCTCGAATTAGTCCAAATGAAGTCAAATTAGTACAATCTCGGTATATTATAGTGTAATCGAAATCGAATTAGTCCAATTGAAGTCAAATTAGTACAATCTTGATCAATTATAGTGTGATCGAACTCAAATTAGTCACATTGAAGTCAAATTAGTACAATCTCGGCCAATTATAGTGTAATCGACCTCGAATTAGTTCAATTGAAGTCGAATTAGTACAATCTCGGTCAATTATAGTGTAATGGAAGTCAAATTAGTCCAAATGAAGTCAAATTAGTACAATCTCAGTCTATTATAGTGTAATCGAAATCGAATTAGTCCAATTGAAGTCAAATTAGTACAATCTCGGTCAATTATAGTGTAATCGAACTCGAATTAGTCTAATTGAAGTCAAATCAGTACAATCTCGATCAATTATAGTGTGATCGAACTCGAATTAGTTCAATTGAAGTCAAATTAGTACATTCTCGATCTATTATAGTATGATCGAACTCGAATTAATCCAATTGAAGTCAAATTAGTACAATCTCGGTCAATTATAGTGTAATCGAACTCGAATTAGTCCAATTGAAGTCAAATCAGTACAATCTCGATCAATTATAGTGTGATCGAACTCGAATTAGTTCAATTGAAGTCAAATTAGTACATTCTCGATCAATTGGACTAATTCGAGTTCGATAACAGTATAATTGACCGAGATTATACTAATTTGACTTCAGTTAGACTAATTCGAGTTCGATCACACTATAATTGATCGAGATTGTACTAATTTGAGTTTAATTGGACTAATTTGAGTTCGATCACACTATAATTGATTGAGATTGTACTAATTTGACTTCAATTGGACTAATTCGAGTTCGATTACCCTATAATTGACCGAGATTGTGCTAATTTAACTTCAATTGTACTAATTCCGTTTTATCTGTTTTTAATTTTTTCTTATTAAAAACGGAATTTTGAAATTTGTGTTATCTGTTTTAAAAATATATATATATATATATATTTTAAATTCGACTTTTTCAAGAAAAAATTAAAATAAAAGCTAAACGGATTGTGGAAATTCAGTTTTAATTTTTTTTAATTTTTTTTTTATAAAATATTAAACACGGATTATGAAAATCCGTTTTTTAATAAAATATTTTTTTTGAAACACGAATTTTGAAAATCTGGGCGTTTGATAAATTTCCACAACATTTTTTTTTGTTTTATTTTTTGCCACAGATTTTTTTTTTTATTTTATATAAATAAATCACCCTAAAATTCATACTTCAATAAATAATATAATTAAACACAAGTATCGTATTTGATAATATAAATATATATTTTTATTTAAATAATATAACGAGTCAGTCTCACCCAACAACTTGTGCGTGCATATATTTCGTACAGACGAACACTCCATTTTGTGATCATTGCGTCTGCGTGCATTAAATCCTAAAATTGATGTGGCAATATATCGTTTCCTTATATATATATATATATGGCTACTTTAATTACTTTTTTTTTCCAACGGCAAACGATAAACTTTATAAATAACTCATAAAAAGTTTACAGATATGGCCAAATGACCACAAATTACTTGAGCATACATCTTACACACAAGCAATACGAGTGAGCCATGACCCCACTCTCAAAGGCTGCCTAGCCTCAAACAAAAACAAACTAAAAACAACATTCAAAAGATACATTACATACAGAAATTAGATCAAACATCTCTGTTTGGACCGAGTTCTCTATTCCTTGAAGTTCTGCTTTCCTGGTTATAGCATCCACCATGGCTTGAGAATCCAGCAAACATGTGAAACCTGACCACTTCTTTTGTTGAGCTCTTTTTAGGCTCCATCTGATAGCAAATATGACTGCTTGTGCCTGTGTGCATGTCTGCTCCATCTTCTCTTGCCAAAGAATGGGTGTGGAACCTCTGGACTCGACCAAACAGCTCACATTAATACCACCTCCATCAGATAATGCAGCACTGACATTCATAACAAAATGTCCTACTGCCCTGGAAAAACTATCATGATGAAGTTGGTGTGTTCTGATCTGTTGAGAAGCCACAATATTATTCCATTCTAACCATTCCAGTTTAGCCCCTTCCACAATTTCCTTCTCATGGATCCAGTCCCCTTTAAACATCCATTTACACCTAGCTTTCCATAAATGCCACAGTAAAAATGCTGAAATTCCTAGCCTTTCTTTTTTGAGTCTCAAGTTCTCAGCATTACACAGCCTCAGCCACCATTGTTGAAAACACACTGCCCCTGCATCTATTTCTTCCCAAGATACTACACATAGCTTCCAACATTTCTGTGCTCTCTTACAATTGAATAAAATATGATTCAGATCTTCACAAATCTCTCCACAAACAGAGCAAATGGTATCAAGTATCATACCTTTTTTCACCAGCTGAGAACTTGTACTCACATATTCAAACCAGCATCTCCAAAGGAAATTTTTCACTTTGGGTTTTATTGGAAGTTTCCAGGTTGTTTTCCACATCTTTATGATTTCCTTAGGATCCCTGCTTGTAGATGGTCTCTCCTGCTTGTTCTGGGTAGCCATTTGAATAGCTTTATACACTTCTTTAACTGAGAAGGTGCATTTAGGACTCCAGTGCCATATCAATTTATCTGAACCACTATGCTCTGAAAGGGGAATACTAAGGATTTTAGAAGCATCTTCTGGTTCAAATGTCTGATAGATAAGCTCATTGTCCCATTTTCTTTCTCCTTTCATAAACAAATCACATACTTTGACCAGTCTTTTTCTATCCTCACTGAAATGGCATATTGGTTTGAAATTAGGCTCCCTTGGAATCCATGGAGAATCCCAAATGGCAATAGACTGCCCATCCCCCACCCTAAATCTAGCTCATATCTGCAATGATTTCCTAGCACTCAACCAGCTTTTCCACAACCATGAGTCTGAAGGTTTGGGGTTAATATCCATAATGTTGGATTTCCAGAAGTACTTGCCCCTCAAAACTTTACTAACCAGGAAATTAGGGTTGGTAGAGATCCTCCACAGTTGTTTCACAAGAAGGGCTTCATTGAAATCTGCTAAGTCCCTAAAACCCAAACCCCCTTGGTTTTTATTCTTTGTAAGTTTCCCCCACTCTGCCCAATGGATCTTATCCCCTCCCCTCTCATTTTTCCCCCACCAGAAAGAAGAAATATCTCTAAAAATAGTTTTCACTATACTCAAAGGAAGTCTAAAGCAAGACATGGTGTAGGTGGGAAGAGCCTGAACCACTGACCTAATGAGAATCTCCTTACATGCCTCACTGAGAATATTATTTTTCCAATTTTTAAGTTTATTATGCACACACTCACTAACATATTTAAAAGTTTCAATTTTAGATCTCCCTATACCTAATGGGAGTCCCAAATACTTAGAGGAACTGACTCTAGAGACACCTGTTAACACACTGCAAATATCCCTACAAAGATTTTCCTGAGTGTTCTTGGAAAACATCACAGATGACTTGTCAAAATTGACCAATTGGCCAGAGTCATTCCCATACTGAGAAAGCATGTTCAAAATAGAGTAAGCATGGTTCAAATCTGCTTTACAAAATAGAATAGCATCATCCGCAAAAAATAGATGAGAAATGCAAGGGGAGTGTTTACTAATCTGAAGCCTATAAAGTCACCAGACAGAGAAGATTGTTTGATTAAATTAGAGAAGGCTTCAGAAACAAGAATGAATAGGTAAGGTGACAAGGGATCACCTTGTCTAATACCCCTAGTGGGTTGCAAAAATCCAAGAAAAGAGCCATTAATATTAAAGGAATAGCTAGTGGAACAAACACATGCTAAGATCCAGGAGATAAAGATGTCACAAAAGCCCATATGCCTACAGATTCTAGCAATAAAGCCCCATTCTACTCTGTCATATGCTTTGGCCATATCAAGTTTGACAGCCATGTAGTTCTTCTTACCTTTTCTTTTACTGTTCAGGAAATGCATGCATTCATTAGCTAGAACTACATTATCCAATATTTGTCTACCTGGCACAAAAGCAACTTGAGCAGGAGAAATACACAAATGTAACACTGGTTTCATCCTATTAGCAATAATTTTAGCAATCAATTTGTAAACAACAGGGCATAAACTGATGGGCCTGAAATCTGCCACTTTAGTAGGATTTTTCGTGCCTATAAGCAAGGTTAAGCTCAGCTTTCCAAGACACCCACTCCCCCCAGTCTCTATCCCCACCCCTAGCCCTCAACAGGTCCAGTCTATTTTTACAATCCTCAATAGCTATCCTAGCATTAGGAATTTTATTCTTTTTCCAGTCCAAAATAGCTAGCCTTACATTTTTTATTCTATGTTGAATGCTATACAAAGCTGGCCCCTGGACCTGCTTGTTCCAAGCATCCTCAACAACTGTAAGGAAATCCTCCTGATCTAGCCATCTAGAATCAAAGAAAAACCTATTCTTAACCTCAGAGAGCCCCTTAGAACAATTAAGAGAGATCATGCAATGGTCAGAGGAGATCATGGGGATATGTCTAACCACAGAGTGAGGAAAATGAGAAAGCCAAGAGGGGGAGAAGAAAAACCTGTCAAGTTTTTCCTCTATAAAGTAGCAGCCTTGTCTGTTATTGGCCCAAGTGAAAGGGTGGCCAACAGCTTTGGCCTCCTCCACACCCAAAGCTCTAACAAACTGCCTAAAACATTGAAAACTACCCTCATCCCTTCTATTACCCCCATTCTTCTCCTCCTGACACAAGATGTCATTAAAGTCTCCACAAACAAACCAACTATCTCCCCATGTAAGACTATGTCTCACAAGCATCTCCCATTGCATGGACCTAACACTAGAATCAGTACTGGCATAAATAAAAACCCCCTAAAAGTGCCTGTTCAGGTTGTTGAACCTAAAATTAACCTCTATACAAAAATCAAAAGGTCTAATCTCAATCAGAGAGATGTTCTCCGACCAAGATAGGAAAAGCCCACCTCTACTATTAATAGGCTTCACATAATACCACCTATCTAATAAATTTAACTTCTTACACATAGATTCTACAAATTTTTGTTTTTTCTTAGTTTCAGAAAGAAAGGAAAAATCAGGGTGATGGACCCTTAGGGATTCCTTGAATTGGGAAATTGTAGAGGGTCCACCCAAACCTCTACAGTTCCACACATTCACTTTCATTGAAAATCTCGGGACCAATTATGGCTGGTTTCCTCCACCTTAGACTGAATGACAACACCTGAAACTCTCCTTTTCTTACCCTCTGTTTGCTGTTCTAGGGCTTCTACATCAGATTTGTGAAGCTCTTCACATACTCTCTTCCCATTACCTTTACCCAACAGGGCAGATATACCAACCTCAGAAGGATCAATAAGCATCACAGCAGCTTTATCCTCCATCTTACTTCTACCCTTTCTAGTGAATGTGGATTTCCTCCTATTAGTAGGGCCACTACCAATGTTTGATGGTTGAATTTCCACCTCAACTAGAGTATCCGCTAGCTGAAGACTGCTAGTCTTAGGATTATCCATAGGATGTGAAACAATCCTTGGAGATGTGGGTAAGATGGCCTGATTGGAGGTCCCATAAGTTGGTGAACTTTCAGGTGTAATAATGGGAGAAGGTTTGGGTGTTGGGGTATTAATGTTTTCGGCCACAGAGTCCTTGCTCTGAGCTCCCCTCTCCAAATTACCCACTGGGTTGGCAGGAGTAGGGGATGGAGTTTTGATATTATTCTGACTACCCAGGGTTGCATTCAAGCTCCCTTTGTAATCACTGGAGAAAGTAGTAACAGCTTTGAGCCATTCTCCATATTGACGCACCTTAAGCTCATTCTTGTTAATGTCCTCAACTTTCACCCCACAATTCCTATCTGAATGACCTAATTTCCCACAATAATAACAGAAAGTTTGCAAGTTCTCATATCTAAAATCTACCCATTTGCTATCAGACCCAACTTTAATCTTGGAGCCTCTCAGTAGTGCCTCATTGACATTGATTTCAACAAGGACCTTAACTAAGTGGCCTTGAGCCCCTCCTGTTCCAGGAACTTGAATATCAATAGGTTTGCCAATAAGCTTACCTATTTTCAATCCAGTCTCCTCTGAAATCCAGTGCAAAGGAAGATTAAGGATTTGGACCCATATTTTAATAACTTCCTCAGATTTAGAAAAGGTAGTTCTTTCAGGATCCCACTCTTTCAACAATATGTATTGACCATCAAAGGACCAGGATTTTCCTCTCAGAATCTTATCCTTATCCTCATCACACTGGAACAGAAATTGGAAACAGTTTTCACCTAAGTTTCTAATATTGAAAGGTTTCTTGGTAACCCAGATGTTCCCAAGAGTAGTTTTTAACCCACTAAAATTGGATTTTTTATGTCCAAAGATTTTACCAATTAAACTCATTCTACAATCTTTAGTACTAGGAGCTATATCACCTAAGGACAGTTCAACTCCATTCTCCTCTCTATCAGATAGTCTGAAGTTGTTCAATTTATCAGCAATGTCCTGCTCCATGACGGGCACTCAACAAAGGGCAACAAACAAAAACACAAAGAAAGACTCCTACCCAAATAAACCAAATAACGAAACTGAGGTACCCACGCAAGCCAATAGCATCACACACATGAAGAGAAAAAAACCACAGACCCTATGCTGAAAACTAGAAAAACATCAAACAAAAACAGAAAACATTTAGACAGGCAAGGAGAAAGATCAACTTCAAAAGCATCACAAATACTGAACACAAGGAAAACAGAAAGAAGATTACCCGCTACCACTGATATGTAAAGCAAAGATAAATAGGATGGGGCTCATTGCTAGATCTATCGACACATTAAGCATTTATACATCAATAGCTTTTAAACCTTAGCGAGCGACAGGGAATCAAAAGTTTGACAAGAGGGAATTGTCCAGCTGCATTTAGATCGGGCGAACACTAGGGGAGATTGAATCAGCTTCAATTATAGTGTAATGGAAGTCAAATTAGTCCAAATGAAGTCAAATTAGTACAATCTCAGTCTATTATAGTGTAATCGAAATCGAATTAGTCCAATTGAAGTCAAATTAGTACAATCTCGGTCAATTATAGTGTAATCGAACTCGAATTAGTCCAATTGAAGTCAAATCAGTATAATCTCGATCAATTATAGTGTGATCGAACTCGAATTAGTTCAATTGAAGTCAAATTAGTACATTCTCGATCTATTATAGTATGATCGAACTCGAATTAATCCAATTGAAGTCAAATTAGTACAATCTCGGTCAATTATAGTGTAATCGAACTCGAATTAGTCCAATTGAAGTCAAATCAGTACAATCTCGATATTATAGTGTGATCAAACTCGAATTAGTTCAATTGAAGTCAAATTAGTACATTCTCGATCAATTGGACTAATTCGAGTTCGATTACAGTATAATTGACCAAGATTATACTAATTTGACTTCAGTTGGACTAATTCGAGTTCGATCACACTATAATTGATCGAAATTGTACTAATTTGAGTTCAATTAGACTAATTTGAGTTCGATCACACTATAATTGATTGAGATTGTACTAATTTTACTTCAATTGGACTAATTCGAATTCGATTACCCTACAATTGACCGAGATTGTGCTAATTTGACTTCAATTGTACTAATTCCATTTTATCTGTTTTTAATTTTTTCTTAATAAAAACGGAATTTTGAAATTCGTGTTATCTGTTTTAAATATATATATATTTTAAATTCGACTTTTTCAAAAAAAAAATCAAAATAAAAGCTAAACGGATTGTGGAAATTCAGCTTTAATTTTTTTTAATTTTTTTTTTATAAAATATTAAACACGGATTATGAAAATTCGTTTTTTAATAAAATATTTTTTTTGAAACACGGATTTTGAAAATCCGGGCGTTTGATAAATTTCCACAACATTTTTTTTTTGTTTTATTTTTTGCCACATATTTTATTTTATTTTATATAAGTAAATCACCCTAAAATTCATACTTCAATAAATAATATAATTAAACACAAGTATCGTATTTGATAATATAAATATATATTTTTATCTATATATATATAAAGAGGTTGTTGGAAAAATACATTAATAGAAAGTTTGACCTAATAAATAAAACAATTGACTTACTATAAATGGAAAGTTCGAAAAAATATATGTGAATCTTTAGTAACAAAATTTGAATCCTATTTTTTTGGTAACTAATTTGGAAATTCTTACGGCAAAATTTGAATCCTATTTTTTTCGCATCATATTTTATTTTTTGTACCAAAATTTAAATCATATATTTTGGTAACAAATTTGGAGATTCTTATGCAAAAAATGTGTCAATTATTTATGAAAATAATTCTAAATACAAATTAACTTAAAGACCGTACAAATTGGATACGAATTTAGGAAACAAATAGTTGTATAATTCTTAACCAATTCTTCTAATTTTATTGAATAATTTTTTCTTTAAAAAAAAGTGTGTAGATTGGATAAAACAATGTGCAATTTTTATTTTAGAATAAAACTGATATTTGGACGGAATGTACATTCAAAATTGTGTCCACATTTTTGGTAACAAAAGCGATTCATCTTTGATATTTAAAGTCACCTTATCCAATTATTTAGGAAAAATTGTGTGCAACTTTTCAAAATTTAAATGCATCAATTTTTTTGGATTCTTATGTTTTTCTTAACCATGTTTTACCGAGATTTTGGTAAGTTCATATCATTTTTTTTTGTTAAGTTCATATCATTTTCTTTAGGAAAGAGACAGTTGCATAAACATTAACAAATTGTTTCAATTTTTTATTAAAATTATTTTCAATTCAATTTATTTGGTAAAAAAATCGGTGCAGTGTTAGGAAAATTCGGTTGCATTTTTAGGAAAAATTGATGATTTTTTATTTTGTTTAAAAAAATATTCGGATCAATTTGTTTGATAATAATCAGTTTATTGGTAGAAAAATCGGCTTCATTTTCAGTAGTAAATAATAATTCTTTTTAATATATGTAGAAAGGTTGTTGGAAAAATACTTAAATAGAATGTTTGACTTATTAATTAATTTGTTTGACTTACTAATTTAGGAAAATTTGTTAAAAAGCACGTGCAATTTGAGTAAAAAAAATGAGATTTTAAAAGCAATATTAGAATCAATTTCTTAACAAAAAAACCGGGAGGATGATGTTGAATTGTGGATGAGGATAATGTCAATTGATTCTTTCCGAATTGAAAGGTCACATGTGAAATATATACACCAAGGATATCTAATTTATTAGTTAGTTAGGGAGCATAATTGTAGGAGATCAAAATATATCAATATAAATGTAACATCAAGCCATATAAAACAAGTTACGTTATAAGTAGTTTAAACATTCTTCGTAAATTTTAAATTATTATATATAATAAATTCTTTGTTTTTTTATATATTAATAGATACTACCTCCTTTTTTTTAAATGTCATTTTGACTTTATTTCTTTTCGGAGGGTAGGCATCAACCAACTCACGGATTGAGCTTGCAATAACATTAAGCACTTTTTTTCCATGAACAATTAACCAAATAAATGACGTTTTGGATATTTTGTACATATTTTTTCATTATTACCTCAATCTAGCTAATAAATACACTACATCTTTTCATATTCATTCTTCATCTTTTCTCAAAACATCCATCTCTATTCTCATTAATGAGGGTTATTATTTACAAAAAAAAAATATCTTAATTACTGTGCAACTTTTCAAAACGATACTTATTAAAAAAAGGAGGGAGTACTATATATGTACTTATATATCTATATATATATATATGTATGTATGTATATATTGGAAGAGTTTGATTAAAAAATCATTTATAGAAACTTGATAAAAAATTTGAGTCAAAACCTTTGACTTAGTTCTTTTGGAAATTCAATCTAATATTATAAAATAACAATAGGGATTTACTTTAAGTTGAAAAAAAGTTCTCGCCTAAAATTTTAGATTTTACTACAATTTATAACTTTTTTTTAAAATTTTTGAAAAATTGGGAGTTGATTTGTAATTTGAATTATAGCGCCGACGTTGGATGTGGCCGAGTCTATCAATGAGTACATGACATCATTGAATTTGTTGGATGGTCGTATGTACTTGAGTTCTGACAGTACATGCAAATCGGATTCTAATAATGATTTTTTGTCTGATCTCCATACGCCTGAGTTTTTGAATAGTATCAAGTGTTCCGGAATACCGAACCATGAGTTGTATTTGAAAATTGGAACTCCGGTCATGTTGTTGCGGAACATGGATCATTCTATGGGTTTGTGTAATGAGACACGATTGGTTGTGACAAAGCTATCCAGTCATGTTCTTGAGTGTAAGATACTCACAGGAGATCATGCTGGTGATAAGGTGTTGATTCCAAGAATGGCCATAACTCCTTCTGATGTTAGAATTCCTTTTAAGTTCCAACAGCGACAGTTTCTCATTATGGTTTCTTGCGCCATGACTATAAACAAGAGTCAGGAACAATCCTTATCTCATGTTTGCTTATTTCTTAAGAAACCAGTATTCAGTCATGGCCAGTTATATATTGTTGTCTCACATGTCACTAACCGAAAATGTTTGAAAATCTTAATTTGTGGTGAAGATGACATGCCAAAGAATCAAACCAACAACGTTGTATATAGGGAAGTGTTCAATAATATATGATCTTTTCAGTTTAATTATATGTTTATATGTCTATTCTTATGATCATGATCATTGCATTATTACATAATTTATATACAAAGGTGCATTCTAAAAAGCGTATAGATAATAATTTCCCCATGCATCGCACGGGTAATTACTTGTTTAAATAATATAACGAGTCAGTCTCACCCAACAACTTGTGCGTGCATATATTTCGTACAGACGGACACTCCATTTTGTGATCATTGCGTCTGCGTGCATTAAATGCTAAAATTGATGTGGCAATATATCGTTTCCTTTTATATATATATATATATATATATATATATATATATATATATATATTTATATATATGGCTACTTTAATTACAGAGTTCGTTTATGCACCAAGGTTGCACAATGTGGTTAAGGTGAACTCCACAGAGTTCAGTGACTGCGGCACATCGAAACAAACAACTCCTGGACAAGGAAACGATACAATGACTCTTACATACGGAGATAATTACTTCATCTGCACTATAGGCAATTACTGCCACAACCAAGGGATGAAATTTTCTGTCTGGGCTTATAGGCGATCGAAGAGAAATGAGAGATTATCCATATGAGATTCAAATATACGTACTTGTATTGTGTTAGCACGCTGCTTACTTTTAATTTCGACTTTGTCACTAGCTATGAATAATGTGATGCTACATATATAGTAAAAGACATGATTTAACAAAACAAAAAAAAAACACTAATTTCAAATTTGGCCGTTTTTCGAAAAGGATTCGCGATGAGTTGTCATGGTACATTATTTAAGGATATAATAAGTTGTCATTTTGATCAATTCTAGTACAGTAATTAACCGAGTCGGATAATTTGATGCCGGGGATGGATTATTTGATGGTGGAATTTTACCCGAATCAGTAATTGGGTACCCGTCGGGTAAATCATGGGTGATACGATTCATATAATGTGGAAATTTATTCTGACCCGAATCAGTCTGCTAAACAATTAATTATAATATTGTAACTAATAAATTGGTAATAATCTTTGAAAGTAAATAAATCTAAGAAATATTTTACTAATTTTTTAGAATTATAATGAGATTTATTATTTTTACCGTCTACTTAATAGTATATATAATGTTTACAAATAAAAAGTGTGATCATATAAAATTTTATGGGAAAATATCACAATGATTAAGTCTTAAAAATGAGGACTTTGCATAAGAAAACGTAATCGTACNAAAAAAAAAAAAACACTAAATGTTGTTTGAATTTTGTTAAGATATTATATATATATATATGGGGGCGGATCAAATGAGACCAACTCTTAAAATGCGGACATCTCTTAAAATGAGATCAGCTAACATTGCAACTAAATACAACTAACATTGCAACTAGACAGAACTAACCTTGCAACTAGATAGAACTAACCTAGCAATTAAAGACAACTAATTAACAACTACAGACAAATAACATAGCACCAATATACAACTAAACTTGCAACTACAGACTACTAACCTAGCAACTACAGAGAACTATCCTTACAACATAATAAATACAATTAACCTAGCAACTACAGAAAACTAACCTAGCAACAACAGACAACTAACCTAGCAACTACAGAAAACTAACCTTGCAACAAAATAAATAAAACTAACCTATCAACTACAGAAAACTAACCTAGCAAAAAGAGACAACTAACCTAACAATTACAGACAACTAAATTAGCAAATATAAACAATTAGCCTAGCACCAACAAACAATTTACCTTGTTAACGCCAGAAGTCAACGCCGGAAGTCAATGGTCAAAAATAAAAAATTATTATTTAAATAAAGAGTTAAATCTTGGCCACACATCTTGATACCCTTTTCGTGGCTAAGATTGAGTCTCATGTCTTCATTTTAAGAATGTAGATGCATTGGAACCAATTCATATATATATATTTTTTTAAATTTAGTTTGTATAAAGGAAGTATCTTTAGTTATTTGTTTTAAGTTTTTTCAATAATACTTTATATCCATTAACCAAAAAAACTAAATCTTTTAATAAAATTAATCAAACATGGAATGACTAATTTTACATTAAATAAAAAACTTCAAATATAAATATAAATGTTATTTTTAATTAATTCTAAGTGATTTTCGGGTAAACGGGTTGGGGTGTGGTTTTTTTCTGCACCGAAACTGATCCGACCCGACACGACCCGAGATACAGATTAAATCCACACTCAACCCAACCTTAAACCAACTCAATTTGGGTATAACCGATTCAAAAATACGGTAACTAGCCGATGACCCGACCCAATGGGTATTATTGACATCTCAATCCTCATGAAAAAGCAAATGACAAAAGTGCCCATACCATTTTTAGTTAACTACAAAATGGTAAAATATGACACATCATTTTTTAATCCAGCCACGCGTTCAATAACCCGGTTCGATTGATCTGTGCTGGCAGCCAGGGCTAAATCAACTCGTCATTTCCTCCTGCCATTTGTACTCTTTTTTTATGTTTTTTTTTTCTGATTTTTTTTCCAATGTCTGGCTTTATTTTTCTTTCTGTTGCCCATCAATATGGTAGTTCATTTTCTGTTTTGTTTTTAGTTGTTACAGGCTACTTGTGGGCTTCTCCTTTGGTATTCCATGAATTGCAAAAATAAGCCCAAGTGGTCCAAAGGTATAGAATAAAATGGGCCCAAAATTTTATAGCAAGTCCAATATTAAAGATTTAACCCCCAATAAGACAAAATAAAAACACATAACTCCAAATCCAAATGTTAACTCCAAAATTTTACCATGACCCAAATATAAAGTTGAATAAAATTGCCAAGGCCCAGTGAAGACATAATATCACACACTGATTGTTGTTATCTATTACTATATAATACGGAGAAGAAAAATTATTTGAACAATCCGAAAACAATCATTTCGTTTTCCCGCTTCAATATAGTGTTTTTCCCGCTTCTTCAATTCGTAAAATTTTTTTTTGAATTTTTTCAGCCCATGCAATTAGGTAACCAATATCGAATATTTTAGCATTCAATTTGGTAAGGTGTTCCGATTTTAGCATTCAAATCCGATTTCACTTCCTTTTTTATGCCAATCAATCCGATTTTTTTGGTTGTTTCAAAATTTGTTTAGATTTATATTTTTATTTTATTAATATATTTGAAAGAGAATCAATAAATGTTTATCATAACTTTTATTTTAAAAATAAATTTGAATAAACATACCTTTTACTTTATATGAAATTCAAAATTATATATTTTAATATATTAATAAAAGTTTATTATTTATTTTTTCCTTATGTGATATAATAGAATTTCGGTATTAAATTTATAAATTCAAACATTTAAAAGAAAAGATTCCAAACAAATTTTTTGGGTAAATTTCATTTTATCTTGGTTTTCATTATCACATTTCTAACAAACTAATTAGTATTATATTTTTTTATCTACATTATCTAACCGATTTTTTATGATACAATTAATATAATATCTTAACAAATTAATCATTTGTCTAACTGAATTTATCTCTCTAACAAACTTGCCAATTTTTTTAAAATTAAAATGGTATGATTATTCTTATGGAGATACTTATCAATATATTAAATATTTAGAAACTTTTTTTAAAAAATGAGTTATCCCTCCTTTTACTTTATTTGATATTCTGACTTATATTTTTAAATATATTATTATTTATTTTTTTACATGTAAATATTTATTATTTATTATCTAAGTGATAAATATTATTGATTTATCTCTTTAATAAATATTTATTATTTATTTTTTTTCCTTACGTGATATAATGTAAATTTGGTTACTAGATTTTTAAATTCAAACATTTAGGAAAAATCCACGAACAAATTTTTTGGTTACATTTCATTTTATTTTAACTTCCATATAATCACAATCCTAACAAACTAATTAGTATAATATTTTTTTACCCATTTTTATATAATCGAATTTCTTAAAATATAATTAATATAACATTTTAACTATTTAAGCATTTGTATAACTTGATTTAACTCATTATCAAACTTGCCAAATTTTTTTTGAAATTAAAAAAAATTTGGAAGATTTTTATTTGTAAAATAATAAAAAATAGCTTTACTTTAAAGTCTGGATTATTTCCATTATTTTTTGTACGTTAACAATCATATATTTTGGATTATTGATTTAAAAAAACAAATCAAAACCGTAAGGTTTAATAATATTCCTTAAATAAAAAATATTGTATAAAGAAAAGTATTTAATATTATATATTTTTCATTGATTGTATTTATTTTATTTTCATAATAGACGAGATGTGAAAAATATAAATAATTATATTTAAAATAAAGTCTAAAAAATATTTAAAATATGAACTCTTCCGTGCATCGCACGGGATATACACTAGTTACCATGTGATGCGAACCAAGGTTGGCTTCTCAAGAAAGCGTATAACCGAGCTCGATGATAGGTCGAAAAATATGTATGTTTTATATAGCTAATGATGTATTCTTATACACTTAACTTATGCTTTTCGACTTATTTATTATTTGGATGGACTCATTTTATCTGGTATTTTATGTGTTATTTTTTAGCATATTGGAGTATTTTTGTAGATGTCAAAATATTGGACAGGAGCAAACCAGGCTGTCTCTGCACCCCCACCTCCTTTCCCTAGATCCTTGTCCCCGAGAAATGCATTTTTCTACTCGAGGCAATGTCTACAATACCCGGATTTAATCAGATACAATTTGGCCGACCAGCAGATCAACAGGCTTTCCACTTAAGAAGTTCATTCCTATAGTAATCGGATGAATTGAGTTGTCAGACATGCTTTATATTCAAACGAAATTAGATATTAGATATTGTGGAAGACCTTCGCGAGGCATTATAAGACATTCCAATACCAAATCAATTAAGGTCTAATTTGCAGCATATTAAAAAGGGAAAATTTTATAACTGTTCCCCATTAACAATGATATTCCACAATCGTTTCTACTCACACACATTACCAAAAATACTCCAAAATTGGACATAATTGATCGAACCCGAAAAATTAAAAGAAATAAAAAAATAAAAATTGCATGAAATGCAGGAAATTTGCATTATCTCAATTTTTGTCATTATCCATACTTTCTCTCTCTTCTATGTTTCTTCAACGCCCCTCGTATATATTTTTTTTCTCTCTTAATTTTCCATATTCTTCCTCACATCCCATACTCTTCTTCATATTTTTTCACTTTCCCTTCTCCATATTTTTTTCTCTATCGCCATTTTAGATCATAAATCCAACCTCAATAAAATTGATGCATTCATATCCCATATAAAACTTGTATACTTTTCAAAATTTAAAAAAAAATTAATATATTAACTACAATTATTAACTATATAATATAAATAAACTACGTGAGTCATTGAAACATAATTATAAAAAACCATTTATCAATTCCCTAAAATTAAATGAATTCAACCAAAACAATAAAAATAATTATAAACAATATCAAATTTAGTTTTACTAAAATTGACCACATTATCATGATGATGAGACACACAAGTAATATAACCAAATTATCATTATTGAAACAAATACAACATAAAGCGCAGAACATAAACATGAACAAGATTGTGTGTATTGTAACAACAAGACAACAATATAAAATTCGTAAAACAACATGAAATCAACTTTCAATTAACGCTAAAGCAACATGAAATCAACTTTCAATTAACAATAAAATATCACGAAATTAAGTTTTATAACAAATATACTAGTGTAATGTATGTACAAAAAAAATACCATTTTAGCAATCGAGCAACGTAACAAAAAAAAAATATCATCGTAGGTCGTCAGCTCCATTCAACGAGCCACGAAACGGAGACATCGCTGATCTATTGGTTTCCACTGCTCTTAGGTCTCCAATCCATCAAACTTAAAGCCTCTAGTCCAATGGCGACCTCCGATGGTCCTCCCCATTAATCGCTCGTTGATGTTGCGTGGTGATTGGTGAACCACAAACAAGATTCGTCCATGCTCGTCCGCCACAGCCATGTTGTCGGGGGAAAGGAACCGCTTGTGTCTCGGCTCATCCCCAATACACGAAATTGCATATAACTTTTCTGAACACAAATCAACACACGAACACTTTTTTCATTCTGAGCAAAAAATTCCACAAGTCCAATATAGAAAAACATCAAGAACTGCTGAGTTACATAAAAAATTCATCCAAATTGTCGTGATCAATTTGTTAATCAAATTGTTAATATGGTATGTTGTGCCAATAACATAAAAATCACAAAAACATCAATTCCAATCCACTTCTCTTCACAGTCATATGGGTCGAAATAGAGTCCAGGAACATTTAATCTAGGTAAATATGAAATTCTCTTACTTACAACGCATCAACAAGGCAAATTCATCATAATAATAATCAGATAAAAAAATCTAAAAAAAAATTCTTAAAAGCAATTCAATGGTTAACACGGACCATAGTTGGGGTCGACGAGGGGCGACTCAACAAGGCAAATTCATCATGATAAATAGCAGAACAGATAAAAAATTCTCACAAAAAATTCCAATCGGACGATTAACACAGACCGTAGTAGGGGCCGACGAGGGGCGACGGCAGCGGCTCTGGTTTGACGTATCTGATTGTGGTGTTGCTGCGGAGGCCTTACAAGATCTGTGGTATCGACCACCGACCACCGACTAGATCTGGATGCATCAAAATCGTGGCTTCAGATACGGTTGCGGCTTGATTTCTCCAACCACATATGTGGTCTGGCCGCCGGTGTCTTAGATGTAGCCGAGGAAGAAAAAAGGCAACAAGAATGTAGGAACATCGATGAAAAGAAAAAACAATAAAAGAGACGGAACGTGTTCTTTACAAACCGCTCACCGGTTACAAATTAAAAAATTCAAAACAAATACAAAACCACACAATAAATTAAAAAATAATTGCGTCCATTAAAAGAATTAAAAGGAGTAAATTTGTCTAAATAGTGAACGAGTGTTTAAATGTAAAATGTTTAAGGATAAGGTTAAGGGGCGTCATTTTTTCTATTAAAAAAAGAATTTGGGCCCAAGATTAATGTAATTAAGAGCCCAATTACTTGGATGATTGAAGACACCAAATTCCAAGTCATACGCAACAGTCGGGGAGGAATTATTTTGCGAAAGAACAAAAAAAGGAGGAGAAGAAAATAACACAAGCAGCCGCCGAACAAGAGGAGAAGAGAAGAGCCACACCGCGGAGTAAAGACGGCACCCGCAAATGAGAGAGATAATTTTTTATCTCTCTTTTATTTTTTATTTATTATTCTTAATATGTTACGTTAGTTTTTTTATTTAGCTTGAGGGAATATTTGAACTTTAAATTTAATTTTTCTATGAAATGAAAGACTTTTATTTATCATTAGTTGATTGAGACGGCGTATTTATTTTGTTGATACGTTGATTCATGTTATTTGTGTATAATGTTTATGAACTATAGGTGTTTGATATAGTTAGGTCGACTACGTTGAATATTCATAGTTTATTTGCTAGAGACAAGACTTTAATTCGTAATTGTTATTATTCTTGTTTTGTTAGTAGTAAAATAGAGGTCATGCATCTCTAGGGTAACGTGAAAATAAGTTAATGGTCCAATTTTCGAGAATTTTTTTTCGAAGTGACAGGGTCGACGAGGATGCGTGAGCCAGCTAGTGGTGGTTGTGGTCGTGGAGTTGGTCAGTATGCCATTGTGCTACTGTATTGAATCTAGAGAGTTTATTTGAGGTTGTTTACTAGTTAGGTTTAGTCGAAAAACTTATTTCGAATAAATATTAGTAAGGAAAAATTCGGTAACAGAACTTGTTGTTAGCTAGGGTTGATAATTCATTAGAAATTTAAAGAAGACGTCGAAATTAATTAGGGATAAAACTGGATTTCTCTAATTTCATTTGATTTTCATATTTTATTTTTATTTTTATATAATAAATTTCCCCCATTTTTCATTGGCATTAGATCGTGCACCAGAAAACTGGATTGCGTGGATACCGTAGTCAAGGGCATAGACGAACAACTGTAAGTTTTCGTTAATCATTCACACGACCTAGGGTCATATCGAATAGCTATAGCCGGATCTTCGTTGTTGGTAAGAAATTTTTAAAATTTTACTGCGCGTGCGCTAGGTTCGCTCATCTAAAATCCAACAATAAAAGCATTGGCCAAGTGCTAAACATGAAATAAAAACATGGAATAAGAACAAACTATTTAAATAGAGTTCAAAAGAAAAACAATCAATTTTAATCATTCATCCAAAATCCCAACACAATCATACAGTATAATGCTTGTCTGTTCTGTGTGATCCAAGAAATCATCCTCCCATGCAGTCCTAAGTCCTAATAGAATAGACTGCAATAAGGCAATAACATATGCAGATGCAGTGTAGTATTTCAAAATCAAAACAATGGTTAAGCATTACCATGCGACTTTCGCGTTTTTTGTAAGCATTCCGTAGTCGTTTTGTTGAATTCAATGAACATAAAAGGACACAACAAATTTCACATAATACAAGAGCTTTCACATAGCTGATAAAGATTCTCATTTCAAATTTAAGCAAAGTGATGATACTCTCGATAGTTGAGTATGTTTAGTAACCAAATAAACTAGTTTATATCTTATTTGGTTAGCTTATAAGTTTGTTTTATTGAAACAAACTACGTTTGATATGACGAGTGGTGTAGATTAGTATCTAGTATTATTATTATTATTATTATTATTATTATTATTATTATTATTATTATTATTAGCATTATTATTTAGTAGATGTCTTAGAGAATAAGTTAGGAATTAAATATTATTATAAGAGATCTTGCCTTGTTGGACAAGTTAGGAATAGGGTTTAGAAGTCTTATTTAAAGGGCTTCTAATCTATTGTTTAAGTCAGTTGATTATTGAAATGAAATAAGATTAGATATTGTGAGTCTTGTGTGTTTTACAAGAGAGTATCTCGTTTACTCGTTTATCCTTCCCATTCATACGCTTCCCTACATCAGTTGGTATCAGCAGTCAGTACGATTCGCGATGCTGCTGGGACGACAAGATGCCGCAAACAAGCGACGTGACGCAACCTTCAATGATCGGTTTCAACAGATTGACTACCGATTTGAACAGTTGGATGTGCGTTTCACGGATTGGTTTGCAGATCTTTCATCGGGGATCGAGGATTTGCGTTTGACGCTTAACAACATGGTCTGGAATTTGCAGATGTACCGTGCCGCCGGCGACCAGGGTGTGCGCGGGGGAGTTCACGGAGGAAGTGGAGGTCGTGGTCCAGGCGGGGCGCCCCATCGGCGATCTCCACAACCGCCGTCTGGCGATGCAAACGACGAGGAGACCATATCGGAGGTGGATCCCTCCGGAGAGTAGCCGCCTCCGCCCGTCAAGACTGAGCTCATCGCTGTGCACGACAACCAAGATGTGCAGCAACATAGTGCAATTTTTTAGGAAGATGACGGGCCGTTGTATGAAGGTCCGCCTATTTTCGATGAGGAGCCTCCAGTGATGGAGATATATCTTTGCAGCAATATGGGTCCGGCGTGGGACGTCACAGAAGTTGAGCCTTTGACGGGGATGCCGTCGTTCAAACCTGATTTTTGGAGTATCTTGGCCAACGATGGTTTTTTGGAGCCGAAGCCGAGGCAGAATAACTGGTGGGCCATTTTCCGAATGTCTATCCCGAAGTCTCTCAAAAGCGGGATGCTTGGCCATAGTTATGGATGTGAGTGCGGTAACGATGTGGTATGTTTGGTGTTAATTAGGTTGTGTGGGTTATACAAATGAAGGCGTGTACATATGCCTTTGCAGCAATTCAATCCTTGCCCATGATTATGTTTACCATCGGGATTGTTGGACGACATTCATCCTTCGTGTTCGACCGGGGGAAACGACGGAGGTTTCTTACCATGAGTACGACACCACATGCCGGCCACGGGAGCGCATCGGCTTCGAGGGCGAAGCCTTCCGAACCGGGGGAGAATGGTGTAGATTAGTATCTAGTATTATTATTTAGTTAGTCTTAGAGAATAAGTTAGGAATTAAATATTATTATAAGAGATCTTATCTTGTTGGACAAGTTAGGAATAGGGTTTAGAAGTCTTATTTAAAGGGCTCCTAATCTATTGTTTTAGTCAGTTGATTATTGAAATGAAATAAGATTAGATATTGTGAGTCTTGCGTGTTTTAAGAGAGAGTATCTCGTTTATTCGTTTATCCTTCCCATTCGTACGCTTCCCTATATCAACGAACTTTTTCGAAAAGCTTGAGCTTATTTCATAAACTTCTTTGGGTAGCACTTCAAATAAACTCGTTGAAATTTTTATTTCAGCTAGCTTATCAGCTAATTTTAGCACACTCTTACCATATAAGGTAGTTTTCCAACTATAAATTATAAGTTCGAAAATCACTTATTAGTTATAAGCTAGCTTATCAGCTAGTTTTATCAAACATAACCTCACACTAACCGAACTAATCGAACTCCAGGAGTTCGGCACCGGCTTCAAATGTAGTCGAAATACGACTCGTTTCCAAATGAAAACAAAACAACTGTCAACTCTCTCGTGCATGAAGTAAACACAATTACTCCCACCTTCAAACCACAACAAACGAGCCGAGATTCCCAAGCAACACGTCTCTCCAAGAAAGAAAACCGCGTCATCCGGTAGCTTCTCCACCTTCTCCCACGAGAAACCTTAACATATCCAATCGAGAAACTTCGATAGAAGATCAGCCGGAGAAAAACCTAATGTGAAAATTGAAATTTTAATCCACTCTTTTTTTTTTCTGAACGATAGATAAACTATATTAACAAAACATCCGAACAACATTCGACCAAATTTACAAACACTCACGAGAACACCATGGGAGATCCACTCAAACAGTGGTCTAAAGGTCTACCAATAACACAAAATCACGGCTAAAGGCGGGGATACAACCACCGGACCCTTTCTCCGAAACATCAACAACACAGAACCCAAAAGTTACTACCAAATACTAACTTCAACTATACAAAATAGAAACAGAGCTACACAAAAAGCAACTAACCAATACTATTCTAACGCCATCGCATACTCTTGCCAATCTCGCCACGCTCCTCCCACCACTACGTCCTCCGGCATCCACACTTTCTCAAAGACCCACAAGTTCCGAGACCGCCACAGGATATAAGTGGACAACTGTATGCGGTCTTCTGCCACCTCCGACTTGTCAATCGAACACACTTGCCACCACCAAGATTTAAAAGATATGTGCGCACCTGTATCTATATATCCCATTCAATCAGTGCAAGTTTCTAAACAATTTGAGCCCTCCTACAATTTAAAAAAAGATGTTCTGTTGTCTCATCCTTTTCACCACACATACGGCAGATACTATCGATTTCCATACCTCTCCGGGCCACATTGGTGCTTACCGGAAAAATTCCTGTAACACACTTCCATAAAAAGTGTTTTAATTTACTTTTTATTCTTAGCTTCCACGTTCGATTTCGCACCACCTTGTCCATATTCGCCGAACTACTACCTTCAGGATCATCCAGTTTTAAAATTTTCCTTGCCATTAAATAAGCATATGAACTAGCCACTGTAAAGTGTCCCTTTGACTCTAGATCCCATTTCCACCTGTCCCTATTGTTTGGATTAAGAGTATAAACTCTTGATTTTTCAATTAATTAGGTTCAATTTTAATTTTTAATCCTAATTTTTGAACCCTAATTCACAACCTCCTCGATCAAATTTTGAGCCAAAGTCGTGCAACATCCTTTTTTAAGTGCACACTTATTATTGAAATTTAAACACGAGCCNAAAAAAAAAAAATTATTTTTTCTGTAGAGCTTTAAAATGCTCGTTGAAAAAATCAAATTTAAAATTAATTCAAACCTAACTCGTTAAAAATAAGTAACTAACATCTAGGATTTATGAAATTAAAGATACTCTCATTTTGAATTTTTAGATTATACTCTCTTTTAAATTGAATAAGGAACAGAAATTTAAAAATACATGCCATATAACTAACACGAAAAGGATAACTAGAGAAGTACAGTAAACCATTGAAATGGGGCTAACCAAACACAATTCACACACTCAATTTAATTAATCATGCCCTCAGCTAAATATTCTTGCATGTTTATAGCAAGAAAAAGTCAAGCATTTGGAATCATTATATTTGAGCCTTTCTGTCACACTATATATAGGACCAATTTTGAAATTTTCTCCAGAACGTAGAATAAAAGAATACAAACATTAAAATCCAAATTTAAAAGTGAAAAAAAATCTTAATGAGTTAATCAAGTGGTAATTTTAAGCGCTTTTGATATGTCGCATTTATGGGGTTGTCTGCAGATTTTTTCCACATCTTCAAAATCGCGTCTTTGTATTGTGAGAGTGTGAGACCCCGTTTCTCTTCCTTCAGCCTTTCTAGCTGTGTTTCTTCGAAAACCTATACACACACATATGATTAATTAATTAACAAAATTAAAATAAAATCCTGAATTTGTAATGATGTAAGTCCAAACTAGATAAATTTTTGAATAAAAATGCATATTTATATTAGAACATGTCATACTCTTATTTTGAACATGAAAACTCCATAAAAATCACTAGAATAAAACTAAATAAGTTATGATTCATGAAAACTCCATAACACGTACTTAATTCACTGCAGGAAAATGATGGAACTTAAATAATTTCAATTAATTATTTTATTTCTTCTACCATTTTCAACAAAATATTCTATCAGAATTAACAATTTCCAATTAAAGTTGCAATTTTTTTTTTCTCGAAACGATAAAAAATGATTAAAGTTGCGTTTTACTAACTGAATTTACTACACTACAATAGTAATTAAGCAGATGGAAAAATAGTTCGAAAAATCAAATTTCAACTAGTATTTCAACAAAAATTAATTCTAATTAAACTTTTTTTTAGTATAATAATGGAATATCGGTGCTTGTTTACTAATTATAATACACCTTAAAAAAAAAACATAATCAATAAAGATTATAAGCAGTGCTCAAATTCTCAAACACAAAATTAGAACAAAGGGGAATCAAAGTTTGAACCTTAGAAAACAACAACCGAAAAAACAAAGAATAAAAAGAAAGAAAAAAAGGAAATTAGTACCTTAAACAAGGCCTTAATCCTCCTCTCCGGATGCCTATCCACCGGCAACCGGCCGCGGCCGTCATCCTTGCATCCACGTCAAGCCCGGCCCGATTCGTATTGGGCCCACAAACCATACTCCGATACTCACTCTCGTCGGCACTCCGGCTGGCCTCCTTTCTCCCCTTCTCCTCCACCCGCCGCCTCAACTCCGCCGCCTCCTCCTCCTTGCGCCGCTCCATCTCCGCCCTCGTCACGGCCTTCTTTTTCCGCCGCCGCCGCCGCCTCGGCCAGGCGGCGGGCCTCGGCTTTCTTGGCGGCGGGATCGGCTCGGCTGCCTTCTTTCTCGTCGCGCCTCCTTTGGGCACGGGATTTGGGCTCTGGGCCGTCGTTGACTTTCCCGTTGACTCCGGTTTTTTTGGCCATTGTTTTATTTACTTTTCTTTCAGAGGGATTTTGTGACGAAAATATTGTGAGGGAAGGGGTTAAGAGAATAGGGTTTTAGAAAGGTTTGGATAATCCCGATACTGTTTAGGAAAACATTGCGTGATTGATACTCTTTCAAAGTTTATAAATGAAAAATTAAATAAAATAAAGTTGTTGTAGCTAAAATCTCTCGAGTTTCTTGATATCATAATAAGGAAATTTTTGTTCACTTTATTTATGGACTTTTAGATATAAAATTTAATTTAGAGATCATTCACATTATGTTAGTGGTTAATTTCTGATGAATTTTTTTAAATTAAAGAACAAACACTTTTAAAGTATATATTTATTAGTCACCAACGGAGATCTGTATTAGTTAGTAGGGCTCTAGCTTTTGTGGCGTTGAGTCATAGCAGAACCTTGATCGTTAATTATACGAGTCAATAAATTAGTTCAATCTCGACTCATTATTAACAAACTGAATTATAGTCTCAACAAGCTAAATTATAAAAAAAATACATGTATATTTTTTCAACCAACCTTAACTAGTTGAGATATAAAAAATTATATACTTTTCTTTTTATATAGTTATATACTTTTCCTTAACAACCCAAACCGGATATATAGGCTTCGGCCCGTGTTAGTTAATCTATCTAACTCTATACCCATAAAAAATGATTTAACCTAAATATTTTAAGCTTTTATGGAAATTTTTAGTCTTGTTTGAATTTTTTATTTTTGTTTGGTTAATTTTAAAAAATGTTGTATGGTTAGGTGTTAGTGGATATATTAAAATAATATTTAAAATAAAATAATTAAATTGATTTGATGTAAAAGTAGGAGATGGATGATTTGAAGTGATAATTAATTAAAATAATGTGAGTGGATGAATAGTGAATTAAGGTTGATGTGTTGTGTGTGAATGATTGATTGATATTATTGAATTATATTGATAATATTGATGACAGTGAGGTTAAGTCAAAGTTGAGTTAAAAAAAAGTAGTTCAGTTAAAATGTTGGGAAATTTTTTCAAAATTCTTGTAAACAAACATGCTCTAAGATTTGTTTGGATATGAAATTTTTTGGTTTTGTTGGATTTTTTAGTTTGACTTGGGTAATTTTGAAAAATATAGTATGATCAATTGTTAGTGGGTATATTAAAATAATATTTAAAATAAAATAATTAAAATTGATTTGATTTAAAAGTATGAGAGAGATGATTTGAAATTATGGTTAGTTAAAATAATGTGAGTGGATGAATAGTGAATTAAGATTGATGTTGGTGTGTATGAATGATTTATTGATATTGTTTAATTATATTGATAATTTTGATGATAGTGGTGTTGAGTTAAAATAAGTGGTTGAGTCAAAATGTTAGAATTTGTATTAGATTTCTTGTAAACAAACATATAGTCTATAAAAAAAGTTTTCCAATGCAATTAAAAGTGAATATGGTCTATATTATGTGGCAATAATAAAAAAAAAAACAATCAATTCTACTTTGGTTATTTTGAACCCAAGTACAACCTAAACAATTAGCATTTATTCTTAATTTATTTTTACTTTTAATAGGGTAATTACATAGAATATTTTATATTTTGAACCCAAGTATGATGTAGGGAAGCGTACGAATGGGAAAGATAAACAAACGAGATACTCTCTCGATAAAACTCACAATCTCATTTTTCATTCATTTAATAATCCACTGCTCCTCACACTGCATAAGAACTCTTTAAATAAACCCCTCCAACTAAACCTAACTTATTCTCTAAGCTACTACTAATAATAATAATAATAATAATAATAATAATAATAATAATAATAATAATAATATTTATATTTATTCTGCATCATTCTCCCCCGGTTGAGCAGGATTCGCCCTCGAATCCGACACGTTCCCGTTGGAGACGTCCCCATGACAAGAAGACCCCCGACGTTTCCCTCGATCGAACACGAATGTTGAAGGTCTTCCAACAACGTCGAAGGTAAACAGAAACTCGGTCAAGGACTCAACTGCTGCAAAGTCACATGTACACGCCACCTTACGCAAAGCCCACACAACCGAATTAACACAAAACATACCACATCGTTCGTCGCGCTCAAATCCATAAATAGGGCCAAACATCCCGTTGTTAAGAGACTTCGGGAGAGATAAACGAAAAACAGCGAACCATTCATTAATCCTCGGTTTCGGCTCCGAAAAACCATCTTTGGCCAAAATACTCAAAAAATCGGGAGTGAATGACGGCTTCCCAGTCGAAAACTCAACAATTGCGATGTCCCACGCGGGATCCATATGGCGACAAAAATATGTATTCGTCACCAGATGCTCCTCATAAAAAATGGGCGAACCGTCATAGATATCGCAAGTGTCGGGCTCGAAATCCGGAGAATCTTTAAGCTCGAAGTCAAAGCTTGATAGTGGTTGTTCAGGCCCAAAATATTGATGAAATCCATCCCATCCCTTGGCCCAAAAAATGGGATTGGGCCGTCCCTGCACAGGCCCAAATTTGGGAAACAAATCTCGCTCTTTGGTGTATCGTCTCTGCGGATCCCCCAAACCGCGAGACCAGTCCTCTCTCCAATCCCGCTGCACCTCTGCAACTCCAGCGTCGGTCCAGCATCGGTTGCGCCGAAGTCCATCGGACCTTCCTTCAGCGGCGCGCCGGCCGTCAAATGCGCAGGCCGCTGCACGACCTCCGTCTGATCTTCGCTGTTTGCGTGGCCGGAAATCGCGTAGGGATCGTTCGTCTCGCCAGGCGACGCGACCATCGTAATCGATGGCGTCCTCTGCGATGCGGCGCCAATCGCGACCCCAACCCGCCTCAGCACGCCGGAAATTGCTCCCCTTGGCCGCGAAAAAATGCAACTCGCCAAAATCAGGCGCCTCCACTCGCCGTCGGTATGCGCCGCCGTCGCCGGCAACCTCGCACCCCTCGTCCCAGTGGCGGGGCGGCAGATACTCAGTGAAGACTGTTCCCTCGCCATCGAGCCCTCGTCTGCAAACTTCTCGACGCTGGCTGAAGTCCGAAGCAAATCGCCGCAAATTGCCGACTAGGGCTGCGCGAATCGGCGAAATTTGGTAATCAAAATCCTCCTCCGGCCGCTGTTGGCTACAAAATTGGACCGCCCCTAGGGTTTTCCGTCGTCGCGATCGCCGCCATGTACGAAACTACCTTCAGCCAGCTGCTGCTTGCGAACTCGGGGCTGACTTGTGGTTTCATTTCCTCGCCATGGTGGTCGATCTGCCAACGGGTTAGCCGACCAGGTAAAGTCACCATCCTTGATGCCATTCAGAGGTGGCGGGGACCGCTGCCGGGGCGCCCCGACATGGCTGTGTTCCCCACAACCGCCTCTGTCTCCCCCGCGAAAGCCACGGCCCACAGCCCCATCGCGGTTCGTCTGCAATTCCGAAACAATCACGTTGTTAAGCGTCACATGCACATCTTCGATCCCCGTCGAAAGATCGGCAAACCAATCCGTGAAACGCACATCCAATTGTTCAAATCGGTAGTCGATCTGTTGAAACCGATCGTTGAAGGTTACGTCACGTCGTTCGTCTGCGGCATCTTCTCGTCCCGGCGACATCGCGAATCGTACTGACTGCTGATACCAACTGATGTAGGGATACGTACGAATGGGAAAGATAAACAAACGAGATACTCTCTCGATAAAACTCACAATCTCATTTTTCATTCATTCAATAATCCACTGCTCCTCACACTGCATAACAACTCTTTAAATAAACCCCTCCAACTAAACCTAACTTATTCTCTAAGCTACTAATAATAATAATAATAATAATAATAATAATAATATTTATATTTATTCTGCATCAAAGTATAACCTAAACAATTAGAATTTATTCTTAATTTAATTTTTCTTTTAATAGGATAAATATATAGAATATTTTTATTTATTGACAATTATTCCACACTTAATATTTTATTTTTGCACTGAGTAATTTTTGGGTTTTGTTTACTCCGATTTGTCTATGTCATTCATTAACTCTTAAATCAATTTATATGACACATATTGCATGTAAAATTAGACCCAATTCATTGTGTGGGTGGTTGGACTTGGTTAATTTCTCGGCCCAATCAGGAATCCCCACATGCTCATACGCACAAAAGTGACAAAACTTCCATTCGTTCAATTGCTTTTTGCTTCGTGTTCATCGGTCAACCCATGCCCTGTCCTCACTCTGAAGCTTAATCCGAAGCCCCCATATTTCTCCATCTGAAAGCAGAAGACGAGCAAAGAGGATCTCCACAATCTTTTGCCATGCCCTTCTCGACCATAATAACCTCCTCCCCACACGCCTTCCTCCCGGTGGCAGCCCGCCCCGTCGTCCGCCGGTCAATCCGGTGCTCCGCCTCGTCGATTTCGCCAAAGTTCGACCTCAAGACGTACTGGACGGCGCTGATTAAGGAAATCGATCAGAAGCTCGACGATGCGATACCCGTGCAGTACCCGCACCAGATCTACGAAGCCATGCGCTACTCGGTGCTGGCCAAGGGCGCCAAGAGAGCGCCGCCGGTGATGTGCGTCGCCGCCTTTGAGCTATTCGGCGGGGATCGGCTCGCCGCGTTCCCCACCGCCTGCGCTCTTGAAATGGTTCGATTTCTGATTTCCTTTTCTTTTCCTTTCCAAATGTTTTATGAGTTTTCCTATTGCGTTCTTCTTCTTGTATATACTGTTTATGGTGAGCTGTTTTCCTGAATTTAGATATCTGTTGGTTTGATTGCCTTCCATCTGAAGTAGCGTTGACTTGTGAAATGAGTTCTTCTGATGAATTATTTGTTCTCAAGAGCTTGAGATTGTTAGGCAATGCAACGTGATTGGTTATGCTTGTTCATTACACAGAGTGATTATTGGAAATATATATTTTTGCGAATTTCATGTATTGTTTTGCTTAGTCAGACAATGCAATTAGGGACCCAAGAAGGCAAAGAATATAGTCTCTTTTTGGAGTAAAAAGTCTTGGATATGATCATTTTACTCTGCTATATGCTTATTATTAAATGACTATCTGTTTCGATTTTACGTTACACTAAATGATGCTGACTATAGATTCGGGATAGACCTCTGTAGCAAAGACCACATTTTCTTGAATACCACAGCTCTATGTTTCCTCGTAGACTGAGAGTTTGTTATTCGGTGTTCTTCGTACTAGCTTTACAGAAGTATCCTCTCTCTATGGATTGTTTACGCATGAACTAGACTTCTGTAGATGTACCCATCAAGAATGTCAATCCTCGAAATAAATAAACCAAACATACCACATATTCCATTGTACATTTCAGCCTGAAACAATATTATCGAACAGAAAATATTTGACAGTCCTCTAAATATTGCAACAATAGTCATAAAAATTAGTCTTCCCAGAAAGGGCCAGAACACAATTTCCCAGAACAAAGTCCATAGATTGCCTAAAGTTTACGCTTCAGCAGAACAGTATTGTCTAATCATTTTCTATATTTAATCAACTGGTATCAGGCATAACTGTAGGCAAAATGTTTGAATTTGAGTGAACTGGGAAATAGGCAACAAAAGAAACTGTGCATATATTTTCCTATTTTGCTCTATTAGGATGTCAATTGGATTTTGGGATCTTGATATAAAACCAATACTTCCCTTTACAAGCTAGGTTTAGACTGGTAAGCATATACGCTAGCTTATAACTTATTTGCTTAGCTTATAAGCTTCATGTATTCAAATAAATTTGGTTTGGTAGGACGAACTTTTTTAAGAAGCTGGAGTTTATCTCATAAATTTCCTTAGGTAGCCTTTCAAACAAGACCATTAAATTTTTATTTAAGCTAGCTTATTAGCTAATTTTACAGACACTTTTATCATATAAGCTAGCTTTTCACTCATAAGTCATAGCTATAAGCTCGAAATTAACGCTAGCTTATTAAATATAAGCTAGCTTATCAAACATAATCTTAATTCATATGAAACTCAAATCTCTTTGTTTAGCTTGTTGGATAGCTACCATCTTAAAACTAAACTAACAAACATACAAAACCTTGAACTTTCTTATATCATTGTACAGGTCCACGCGGCTTCACTAATCCACGACGACCTCCCGTGCATGGACGACGACCCTTCCCGCCGTGGCCAACCCTCGAACCACACCGTTTTCGGTGTCGACATGGCCATATTAGCCGGCGACGCCCTTTTCCCACTCGGCTTCCGCCACATCGTCACCCACACCCCGACCTGCCTCGTCCCTGAGCCCCGCCTCCTCCGCGTGGTGGCCGAGATAGCTCGAGCCGTGGGGTCCACCGGAATGGCGGCCGGCCAGTTCCTCGACCTTGAAGGCGGGCCCAACGCAGTCGACTTTGTCCAGGAGAAGAAATTTGGCGAGATGGCACAGTGCTCGGCTGTGTGTGGCGGCCTTCTCGCCGGAGCCTCGGAAGACGAGCTCCGGCGACTGAGGGGCTATGGGCGGGCTGTGGGGGTTCTTTATCAGGTGGTGGATGATATTTTAGAAGCTGAGTCGGGAGAGTCGACGAATGGGAGAAAAAAAGGAAAGAGCTATGTGTCGGTTTATGGGGTGGAAAAGGCAAAGGAAGTGGCGGAGGAGCTCAGATCACAGGCGAAGAAAGAGTTGGATGGTTTGATGAAGTTCGGAGATAAACTTCTGCCGTTGTATAGCTTCGTCGATTACGCGGCCGATAGGGGTTTCAGCTTTGCACCTCCACTGTGAGTTTTGAGTTTTGGTTCCTGGGAAATGATTTTTATCTTTGCTTTACACAAGCCGTGTGATTTTATAGAGTGTACTTTCTTTTCTTTTTTTTTTTATTCGGTCCCTTATGGGAAGCTGTTGTTTGTTGTGGTTGTCTTGTACCTCTGTGTGTATTCAAAACCGGCCAATATATCAAACTAATCGTTTATTTTATTTTTATTTTTATTTTCACAAGATTTCATTTGAGATTTATAGTGTTATATAAATTCAAAATTAAATGTTGTTTAAAAGTAAATTGACTAACATGAGTTTAACTTGCTATCTAGGATCTAGGTTTGGTTTCTTGCTTGGTCTATTCATTGTGTAATTAATTGACTGTCATGTGTTTAATTCCTTCGTGAGAACGGCCAAACTCCAAGATTTTCTTTTTTTTTTTTCTTCCTTATTAGTTACTTGTGATAGCCGTGGCAAACAGGCCCGACTCGATAGGGCTACAGTTCGTAAAATTGTAAATCGAGACAAGCTTGGAGTCGGAGGTATGGAGGTTTTGGTTCGAGAAAATTGTAAACGAGACAAGCTCGGAGGTATAGAGGTTTTGGTTCAAGAATCTGACAGTTTCAGTTTCGGTTCAGACTTGTCACTTCTAACAAGTGTTTCATTTCATAATAAAATAAAATAAAAATTTCACGTTGACTTGTAGGGTCGGGTGACTCATTAATGTTACTCTTGCAACGGCTACAATATCCAACGGTTGAGATTAAGTTACATCTGGTGTCAACCCTCCATTTTTTAGTTGGACTTGAAACCATATTAAAATTTAAATTTTTAATTCTGAAATTCAAATTTTCAGTCACCAAACCTAATGGGTCAGGTTGGTTTCAGGTTTGGCTTGGACCCATTGAGTCTAAATATTTTGAGGACTTGAACTAGAAGGGGTTCGTGGAATACACATACCCAGTTTCCTTTTTGGTTCGAAATCTGGGTCAATTGGCTCGCGTTAGTTGGTCAACGGGTCTGACCATGACTATTCTTGGGTCAGTTCCCCTTGATTGTATCACTTTTATTTTCATTTTATTTTAGTTTGTTAATCGATTGGATTAAACTATGTTCGAGGCGTTCTCTAGATGAAGGAATATGTATGACTAAGTAATTATAATTTTTAGTAGGGTTCTTTTTAAATTGATTCGTCTGGTCGGGTGAATCATTATTGTTACTCTTGCAACGACTACAAGATTCAACAGTCGAGATTAAATTACATCTGGTATCAACCTTCAGTTTGGACCTAAAATCGAACAAAGGTTTTGAAATTCAATTTTCTTTCGTCAAACTCAACGAGTCAGGTCATTTTCAGGTTTGGCCCGGATCCATGAGGTCTAAATGTTTTATAGACTTGAACTAGAATAGGCCCGTGTAATACACAAACTCAATTCCCATTTTGGTTCGAAACCCTAGCCAATTGGCTCGGGTTTAGTTGGTCAACACTCAACGATTCCAACTTGGTGGGTTAATAGATCGGCCCGACACAGTAACCATGTCAATTTTTGGGTGAGTTCCCCTTAATTTTATTACTTTTATTCTCATCTTATTTTAGTTTGTTAATCGATTGGATTAGACTTTGTTCTAGGTCTTTGAATTAAGGAAACATATGTTTCGAATAGCAACAAATAGTGGATTTTATATGAAAAAGGTTACTTCATAATCAAACAGAAAACATTCATTTTGATCTTTACACTCTTTTAAAGACTTCCAGTGCGTTTAAAAGCTGGCCCAGCCATTTAGCAATATCCAAGGTTTAAAAAAGCCCAAATAGTTTTTAGACAATTGGTGGCCCAAATATTACGGATCATCTATTCACATGGCCCAAAGCCTAAACTTCTATAAGTCTGGCGCCCATACTGATCAGACAAAATGGTGCACATTTGAATTTCCCAGACGCGCCACGAGCTAAGTTCTTATTTCAATCGAATTCAGGTTTTATTCATTCATGTTTTGTTTTTGTGCGCGTTAAGAATTTGCTCTTATATCGTTGTCCTTGATCTTCTTTCAAATTTTTATTACAATTTGGATCTTTCTGGCCTAAAAATTTAGGGTTTGGTTACATTGGCTTGTTTATGAGTAATTTCGGAATTTCAATATGTTATTACACTTTCTTCCATTTTTGCCGTTTACGTGTTCTTAGCTTGTATTTTTCCGTTACATTCCACCCAAATTCCTAAAAAGAAAAAATAATCGCTAACCCTAATTTCTCAGTGAATTCCTCCATGGCCAACGTTGAAGAGCAAGTTGTCCCGCTCGAGCCTGCTCGGAAGAAGCACACCGCCCCCACACACCCTCCGTACTTCGAGGTATTGATTGATCAATCCGCGATTAAACCGTGATTTTGTACCTTTTTTTTTAATTTTTTTTTGTTCGGATTTTTTTACTTCTTGTGGTTGGATCTGAATTTTCCAGTGGATTTTGTAGATGATTAAGGATGCGATCGTGACGCTGAAGGAGCGGACGGGTTCCAGCCAGCCCGCCATCGCGAAGTTCATCGAGGACAAACAGAAGAACCTGCCGGCCAATTTCAGGAAGGTCCTGCTCCTCGAGCTGAAGAAGCTCGTGTCCAACGACAAACTCGTGAAGGTGAAGAGTTCCTTCAAGCTTCCGGCGAAGAAGAATAAGAAGTCCGTTTCTGTTTCCGCACTAAAAGCGGAAGCCAAAGCTAAGCCAGCTGCGAAGGCCAAGGCCGTGACAAAGAGGAAGGCGCCAGAAAGCAAGAAGGCTGAGAAGAAGCAGCCGAAGACCTCAACAAAGTCGACTCCGATAACGCCAGCGCAGTCTCGTTCGGATAACGTTGTGCCTCAGCCGAACAATCAAGTTGTAAGAATTAAATATTATAATTTCTTTACTACAAACAAAATACAAAATCATTTAAATAACAAATAAACAAATCTTCACTTATCTCTTCCAATGGGAAATGTGACTTTGCGTCTTAACAAAGGACATAAATAAATGATTAATGTATAATATAATACATACCCAAAAAAAAATGTCTTGGTCAATTGTCCAACATAAATTCTCTCATAGCAAATCATTTTTTTTTCTTTTATATGTTTTTGAAAATTCATATTGTCCATCGAAATTGTTGCACGTCCTTTAATGTAATATTCTTCATTTGGCTAACTAATAACGAGAATATGTAATCAAAGGCACCTTATAAATTATTTATCCATGATTAATCAATTATCTGTTTTCTTTTTGATAATCATTCATAATTTAATTCAATTATCTGTATATTTCTTAAATATTCACAGGGAACTCGGACTGCAAATGGAAGATCTGTAAGTGACAATTCTTTTCTTTTTTCTTACTTTTTTTTTTTCTTGTCAATGAATCTTTCCTCTTATCTGGTTTGATGTATTGCCTCCTTCATTATTAACTTATAAAAATTGGTTCTAATCAGTTGTTATCCTCTGCAGAAGTGTATATTACTGTAAATGACATGATCATTTGTTTCCTGTAGTAAGCGCAGGATGTTTAATGTCAGAGAGTTATGGGATATGGAAGAGATGTTAGCTCCTATACCCCCGAATGACCCTCTTCTGGCCCCTCTTCTGGTTGAATTTTCGAATGAGAATGTAGCCCAATCTGCATTGCAACACTACAACAACAAACATGTTAATGTTCTATCTTATCCATATAAATTTTACTTTTTTTTTCTTTTTTCTTGTGGTCATTCGTAATATGATGCAGTGCTTTTGTATGTCTAATTTGGAATTTCTAACAGGGAACTTGTTTGGAGTTTGTGAGGTGTCTGGACGGGAAAGAAACAGATTTGGATGGACCTGGGTTTGGAAGGTGCTTTATAGAGAGGCATTATGCTTGGAGGCATTTCAACTTTGAGGCCAGGCGGCCGGATGCTGGTCCCAATGACGAACCACTTCTTTTGTTTGCCGAAGTACATTTAGATGGAAAAGGGTTTGAGCTCACTACATTATCACTCGTGGGACGTACAGATGGAGGTATTCTGCTTTTCTAATCATGTTGAAGTAAATTTCACTTTTTCAATGATTGTTTGCACATCACAGCAATTTATCTTATCTATCTGTTTAAGTGATATGTTTGGTGGTTCCTCTCGCTTTCTTTTTTTATTCGGTTAGCCTGTGACAGATGTAACTCTTTCTCTTTCTGACTTGATTTTCTTTCATCTGTCATTTTTGTTGTTATCGCTGATAGAGAAACATCTTTGTACTTAGTTGCGTATCTTAAAAAATTACAAATTCTCATGTAATATTCTGTTTTATTAATTGTAACAGTTTAGTCCTGTGATCCTTTCTAGTTTGTGTGAGGCAGAAAAAAGGCTCCACTCACTTTGTTTGAAATTATTGCTGTATTGTTGAAATTATTGTTGTATTGTTATTACTATCAACATTTTTTAATTTCATGGATTGATACAGATTATGGTTGTCCGTATTGTCTTTCTTACATAAATCACCCGCGTCGTGGATTTCGTGCTGGTCTTGACGCTACGTAATCTCTTCTCTCTGTCCTCTAATATATATTTTTGTTTTTGGCAATTGAAAAATGAGCAAGTAATAACTAAATTTGTTTTTTCACAATTCAGAGTGGATAGCAATCCTAAGTCACTGCCTGCAGAGGCTGCTGCTAAATTGGCTGAATTCGCTTTACAGGATTATATTGCGAAACAAGTATTTGATTTCATCTCAAACCTTTTTCTATTCTTTTCTTCTTTTTACCTCTGGTCCTTTCCTAATCTATCATTTTGTTTTATTTTATTGTAAAACAAAAGACCGAGGAAATAAGCTTGAAGTTTGAAAGGGCTGTTGAAGGCAATGGTTTTACGAGCACAGGTGTATTGATGGACTTCACTGAAAAGAGGAGATATTGGGTGCATTTGAACTTTGAGGCAAGGGTGGGCCCCAAGGAAGAAGTGCTCCTTTTTTTCGCCGAACTCTATTTAGAGGATGGCAGTGATGATAAGTATGTGCTTGCTACATTATCACCCGCTGAGGCCACTTGGATGCAGAAGGAGAAGGTGGACATAGGTAAGAAATGTTTCTCTAAATCATTGGTGGATGATTAAATACCAGTTTCGCAAGCCCATTCTATTTGTCTTCAATTTGATTTATTAATCATGTCGTTTGTTGTGGATGGTTTTATTTAGTTAGCACATTTTGTTTTGGTAAATACAGATCGTGGATGTCCCTGCTGCCCGAAAAACATTTATCATCCTTGGCGTAACTTTCGGTATGCTTTCAATGATCGGCCATGCCCCCCAAACTCAGCCTATTGGTAAAACCAAGAGAGAGAGATACGCAAATGAGTATCTTATGACTATTTATTCCATGGTGCGGGATAAACTTGGGAACAATCTTTGTTTGCTTTCTTCATGGTCATTTGAATTTGAAGGGGTAATTTGTTTTGTGTGTGCTGCTGACATGCTTGGAAACAATCTTTATTTATGATTATGAAGTTATGTGACTGAAATGTGATTATTGCTGATGTTGCTGTGTGTCGAATATTGCACTTAGCAAGCTTTAGGAATGGATTTTTTTTGCGCTACTGTATTAACCTTATTTATAGCATCCCCTGGACTGGTAGTACAAGATTTACGGGTTTCATTTATCATACGTAGTTTTGTCGGTATTATGATATTAATTCTCACCATGAGACTGGAAAATTACCAGTCATTTAGCCATTGTAAGCGGCCATAGTAAGCGACGGTGTTGTTTTCTTGTGGTTTTGTATTCCGTTCAGTCTTCAAATCCGGACAAGAAACGATACTTGGCACATTCAACCGTTCTCGTCTGTCAATACTATTTCATAATTCTATTGAGATACCATGTGAGTTGGATTCTAGTTTTCTTGTGTGAGTGTGAAGCTGCAACTTTTCTTTGTGAAGCTATGATGTTTGTTTATTCTTGCATGGACACTTGGTAAAAGACTGAAAGATGAACTACATGTATGCATGTTTAATATTTATATTCCCCCTCAGTTTGAGCAAGGGTCAGATATTATGCATAGTTTGTTTCTTAGCCTGGTGAAAAACTGAACACTTTAGATGAACTACACGTCTTCGAATGATGAAATGGTAAAATGTTGTTCTTCGTATTTTGGTTCGAATAAATATTATTGTTTTAGGATCAGGTTTGGTATTTGACATAAATAGTTTATATGTAGTTTTGGTAAGTAGGCATTTTATATCTATTTATATTTAGATATACATTCTCTTAATTTATTTATTTTTTAATCTATAGTCTTAAGAAAAAAAAAGCGCAAAGGTTAAATATAAAAATAGAATAAATATGAAGAAAAAATTAAAACTTGTGTCTCCACTTAAATAAATATACCGAGAATTGAACTAGTGTTGAAATTAAAAAATTATAAATAAATATCAAATTTAAAATAACAAATTATCTATTTATCTATTTACTAGTATATAACTAGACAACTCATTCCATTTTTATTAAGTCGGGTAGTGTGTCCCTCAAAAAGTGACTTTCCATAAATGGGAAGTATTTTTCACACTTTTTTTTTCATCTAATATTAGGACTCCTGGAGTAGTGGGCTATAATTGCTCTTTCTAACTGATGTTGTTTTAGTGATTTTAGATACTGTTAAATAGATAACATGTCTCCACCAACCATTATCTTTATAATTGTAAATATACCGTATTTGGCATTGAAGTTCTGCCGAATGGAGTTCAATATGATAATGCCAAAACTTATAGTTATTTGTAGGTTGTTTTGATGAGTTTAGTATATGTTTACCACTTTCATTATATGATAATACTAAATCTTGTAGTTATTTGTTTTAACTATTAATAATTTAATATTGATGTTGAGTTATTTTAAATGGACATTATCTTGTTCACCAAACGTAATTATAATTATCTAAATTATTTATATGGAATTATACTTTTAAATAAAAAAAATATCAATTAATTTATACAATTACTTATACTTGATGAAAATATTTATTACAAAATTCATTTGTGGCCTTACCTGGCTAACTTATGATTATTAACCAATTACAATATATATGTGTGTTAATTACAACTCACTTTGATAATGAGGTAATCGATTATTAATTATAGTAATTATTAATTTACTGTATTTGCCTTTTCTAAGTGGATGAGGAGATGATTTTTTGTGGTTGACTAGGCGGTTACCACTTTCACTCTAACCGTTTGTATACAATTATCAATTTTACATTTAAAATCATTGAATGTAGTTACAATAAATTAAATTATACACTTTATTTTTAACAATTTCACCCACAGATGTACCAAATATATTTATTTTTCCAGTTTCCTACCATGAAATTCATACTTATGAAAGAAGTCACGACGAAGTGGTCAATGTGATTTGATGCTACAAGCATACTATATAAGAAGTTGTTATAAGCATATGGATATGAAAAGTGTTCAAACATCAAGATATAAATGTATTACAGAAGCCCATATTTAGCAAGGAAAGCTCAGTCTACTCTATCATATGGTTTGACTATGTCAAGTT